ACATTAAACTATTACGTAGTGCCAAAACATTAAACTATTACGTATTGCCCACAGATCAAACTATTACGTATTTCCCAAACATTAAACTATTACGTATTGCCAAAACATTAAACTATTACGTAGTGCCAAAACATTAAACTATTACGTATTGCCCAAGCATTAAACTATTACGTATTGCCCAAACATTTAACTATTGCGTATTGCCCACAAATCAAACTATAACGTATTGCCCAAACATTAACCTATTACGTATTGCCAAAACATTAAACTATTACGTAGTGCCAAAACATTAAACTATAATTTCAATACACTCAGCGCTCATATTTACCTGCACAGGATGTCAAAATTCAAACCTCTATTGATCAGTCTGTTATGAAAATTCTAGCAAAATTTGAAAACATCAAAATCGAAAGAAAATATTACAAAAAATTGTATCATTGATTTGTTGCGAGAATTCGGCATAAGTTTAAAACAGAGAGTCGCGGTCGATGGAGAAAAATCAGTTTAGGAGTGGAATGCCCCAAGGAAACTTACTCGGGCCACGTTTTTGTATGTACATATATCAATACTCGTAGATATTATATACGTGTAAAGTACACCTTGCTCGACTTATTATAGGGTATTGATCCTACTGTACATTGATGTAAATCTACAGCACAAGTCGAAAATTTGGCTTCTCATTTTCATCCGAATAGCGCTATTGAATCAAGTAAAACAAACACCCAAGCCAAACATCACATATCGATGTACTAGCGGGTAGAAGAAAATGTCTAAGAACAAATCAATATCAATATATCAATATATAGCGCCTTCAGTCAGAAAATAGCCTAAACATGTCTACCACGAATGAAGTTGGCGAAGGAATGATACGAAGAAATGTGGATGGTACATTATTATGGCACGCATGTAGCATGTAGTTGTCACTACAGATTGAATGTCTATATGAACATTTGGGACATTTTTGAGAACTCGTGCTGTGAATTATGTTGCCTATGAACGAATATTTAGGCCTATTCGTCGGATAGAATATAAAAAGTGGTATTTTTCGGAAAATCAATATTTGACAAATTCGTTTCATTCTGTTGCTTACATCGTTCGTTATATAGGCTATATAGAGCGTGAAGGCTATAACCTGAATACTGACCGTAGGAGCTTTATCTCGACCGTATTGATATAACTAAGATCTCCTGTGGAGAGTAGAAGAACCTTGGTACAGTGTACACACACAGCAAACCCATATTCACCAAATATATCATTACTGTCGTCGATAAAGCAAATATGCCTATAGGAACACTACGGTGAACGTTTGTAACTTCAAACATCAGCACTCAGCAATATATTACCAGTGTATTAGACATGTATTTACAAAAAAAAGAAAAAAAGATTTAGGAAAACTAACAAGTGTTCAAAGGAGAGCTGTGCAACTATTTCAGACGATCAATTATCTGAAGTAAGAAGAGAGAAACGGACAGGTGGCGACGACCTCGGGATGCTAAACTCAACATAATATGACTAAGGTTAGTGCAAATACGTACTATATCATCTTACATGAATTCATGGTGCTTATACAATGTAGCTATATATTGCCCTTACTGTAGAAAAACACGGGTCTTTTTTTTCTGCAAGGTCAATCATGTTTCACGAGGGCAAGTGAAACATTATTCATCGGGGGGAAACAAAGAATCGTGCCTCCCTAACATAAGGACAATACATATCTTATTATGTCAGAAAAAAACACTAAAATATGATCGGGAAACTTGAGCGCCTAGGGGCGGCATGCTGTTTTATTGCCCCGTCATGTGACCAGTACATCAGGTATCATTCTATCAGGCACGATGTTATAAAACTTAGGTATAATGGTCTGTATTGTAATTAGTTTCAAAACTTGCATACAAATTCACACAATATAATTTTATCTATTTCATTATGTTACACTCAAACGTATCAATGTAATTAAGTCGCCTGAATGCAGATGTTCTTATTCTATAGACAATGTTTAGCACCACTTTAAGAATGTCCATTGTATGAAGGAGCCAGGAATATCTTCCACAGAAAACTTTTAGGGAATTTGAAATTAAATTATATAGTTACAAATTTACTTCAGTCCGGCACAGACATGCTTACTGGTAATGAAAATTAATTTATATTCATATCAGTTCAGGTATATATCAAAAATCCACAACGGTTTAGTAAAACAAGTATGTTAAAACTGAATAATATATACATATATCACCTGCACGTGGTTAGCATTGTAGTACTACGATGACGGTGTAGATTGCACCCGGAATTGCAGGACGCCTTGCGAGCTCGAAACTCATTAGGAAGCCAATAAATTGTGTTATTTGATCTTGTGAAAAGCACACTTTGTATAGAAAGCTTCAAGGACGTGAACATAGTGTGATATGGTCTGCTGTGTCATCAAGTTGCCACCGTTTTGAAATTTGTACATTTGTAGGTTGATTTCAAGGTTGATTTTATTTTATTTTTATTTTCTTGCATTTCTTTTATTACATGTATCATTGATAGCAGTTTCAATGAAAAATGTGTGTTTTTTGGTATGCTATAGATGATGTACATGTAATAACGTATTATAATAGGAGATGGACAAATCCACGGCCAGACCGGGCTTCGAACCCGGGTCCCTCGGAACTCTAGACGGACGCTCTACCAATATAACAATAGAGCTAGAGTATGTTCTATAATGTATACTGGTTGTTGAGACATGTAAGGGTGCATACAATACAAAATAACCTACATTATTTGTAAAGAGCTATGGCGTAAAGCGGCCCATATTTCCCAAAGTCGGCATTTATGCAAACGGGGAAAAATGAATGAGTAAATAATTTCTAGTATCGAAAATGCACTGAATAGATATCAAACCAATGGGATATGAACTTATGAACTGCTGAGATATTAGTGTGTTTTTTTTTATATAATACTGCAAATAATAGCCATATTTACTATATCTTTGAAAGTGATGGGGTTTCCCAAACTTAAACACTTTCCCATCCGGGGACCAACTTTTGAATAATCTTTTTGATTCCGTGATGTAATATGAAAAAAACAAATAGTATGACGGATAAGTGGTTATCATGTGGGAAAGTGCTTAAAATAATGAAAAACATGGCTGATAAAGTTTCTCAAAACTGCGACAGGTGCTTCTTTGGTTAAAACAGTTAGTATTTCCATTTGTGTACCACAGTTTACTTAATTAAGTAATGAAATACTTTTCAAATCAATGGGACGTCTTATTGATATCTAAATAACATACATATTGATCTATCTTCTATGGAATCATGTCAACAAATCCCTGTATACGTGTACAGTACAGCTACTGTACGCTTTGTAGATAAGACATCATTTTAAATGATATTTATGATTTTTTTTACCTACCAATTGGCACCAGTATTTTTATTTATTCAAACAAAAACAAATGATACCGAAATGCAAAATAAGTAGGATTGTTACGTCAGGACAAAAAAAGGCCAAGCAAAAAAATAAAAAAAATAACTGTTACAATTTGTATTATCGCAAATATATTACCGAAAGTGCTGGGAAATTCATCGTTGAGGACAGTCTTATTTGTTTGAAATGCAGGAAGACTGCAGCACAAAGGAAAGAGTGCAATGCACGTGTAAGACATGCTATTCGATAATTATATGTACTTTTGCCTGTCAAATGAGCAGGAACAGAAAAACAGAAAATGCCGCCCTCAGAAGTAATTAAAATCAATTCATTTCGACCTTATTGATAATGATTAAAAAAACCGCGAAATAAGTATTTTGTTGGGTGTTTATCGTGAAACACGAGTATTAATAGCCATGGCCATAAAATCGCCTGTTCACAATAATCTTTTTTAGACACAGGATTTCGATAGAGCTACCTTTATAAAAATATACCTGAGGACGCGTCATGACGGTACACGGTGGCACTATCGGATCATAGCTTTGGGGAAATACGCATAGCAACCCGCCATAGCTCGTTTAACCTCATCTAGTTTGAATCATGTAAATGTAGTTATCATTGTTTTCATATAGCCCCATCAAGTAATAACGAGGGAGGTAACTCTTCATCGTTGTAATAATTAAGGTTGTAAACCACTAAAATAACATCATGAGGGTTTTGTTTGTAACGTTGCACAGCTATGTTTACCTATTTATTCAAGTGAATAATGCTTCGCCCAGTAGAATTATCGTAGTTTAGGGACAACTACCTTAGTGTATTTTGTTGTGAAGTGAAGTAAAACAATTGTGAAGGTAAACAACATGTAAATGGGAAACCAGAAACGAGAAATATGTAAGTAAACTATGTAGTCCCAGTTAAAAATAGTACATATTATCCGACTTAACATTAAGTTCTTCATAAATCAGAAGCTAAAATTCAATTTGAAATGAAATTTTGACGAAATGTACGAATATCGTTGTAATTTAAAACGAAAATACCTTCATTTGGTTTTAAACATAATTAATGTATCCGAAATTTGGTATTTTATTCTTATAATAACACAATCCCTGTATGTCGTTTGATTTATTTTGCTACGTATAACTGTTAGACTTGAACACATAGTATTTGAAGGGTCACCGTTGAAAATTGTTTATATTTTAAGTGTTCTCAGAAAATAATAAAGCTTGTGAACTTGACACACAAACAAAAGAAAAGTTTTTGTTAATAAAAAATATTTATTTTCAAAGAAAACAAAATCAAACAACATTGATAACCCCTTTCCATGAGCATCCTCGATATCCAGGGGTTACTCTCACTTTCGCTCTCTACACACCTGGAATATGTCATAGCAAAATTGAAGCCACGAAGATAGCTGTTTGATTGGTCTCAGGTGAAAAAACCCTGACCAATCGCTAGGCTGATACTTGTCCTTTGAAGATTACAAAAGAGAGACGCCCGACTTCAAATCCTGTCAATTTTACCGTTACGTGACCGCGAGATTATTTTGATGTACATCAAAGGATCGAACTTGTCCTCTTGTCTCATCAACAAGGTGGCGCCCACCATGCCTTTAATTTTGCTATGACATATTCCAGGGATGAAGAGAGCGAAAGTGAGCGTAACCCCTTGATATTCATGTATTTACTGTCATTCGGAAGGCATCTTTGGTATAACTCGGAAGGTATCGGTGGTTTACCGTTAAGCAATGTGACATCGGACCATCAAAGGTGCTACTGTATCTGGGAAGTTACACTGTTGTTTTGTCGAGAATGTTATTAAAGGTATTGAATTGAACTTTTTACAAGTATTCATCAAAATATTGTTGATATTTTTCTGTATTTTAAGAAAATCCTACTTGACACATAGGAAAAAATGACAAAGACTTTTTACACGTGGGTATGTTATTAACTAATTTCAATAAAAGTTTGAACGTATTTTGATTTTACTTTACTCCAATCACTCCTTATTTACACGATTCCGCTAGAATTAAAAGTTAAACGAACAGGATACATCTCAGCTAAGTCGGTACAAGGTTAATCCTAGAGAGATTCGAGGGTTGTCCAAACGTTCGGAAAACGGTATAAGCTAATGAGAAAAAACAAACATCTGGAATGACGGTCCAAAAATTACATTATCATTAATCCCTTAGCGCTGGAAAAAAAAAATAAAGTTACAATTATCAGTTTAACGTTATTAATTAATGTAACGGAAACTTATAATCAAACAATAGATAATCAGATTGATAAAATTTCTGTAATCTCTTTCGGTAAAAACTTGGTATTTGAGAAAAATAATTTACAAGCGTCTCATTAGTTCTCGTAGCATTATAAAAAGCGGACCTCTTAGGGAATGAATACCTGGATAGTCCAGCACGCTTTAGAAGGTAGTCGGCGTCGTCCTCAATGGTCTCGTACTTCCCTATATAGTCATAGTTTATTTGACACGGAAGACAAAGTTGACTCTGTCGCTCCCAGTGTTCGTCATATTGGAAACTTTCATCTCGAAACTGGTTCTCCTGTACTAAATATTTCACAAAATCCAAAAAATTAACATCCCCTTTTTTCACATTTCCCTTTATTGGAGACTCCGGGTGTTGCATTTTATAAATATTATTTGCTTTCTTTTGAAAGGTTTTATCCTCGAGACCAACTCCGGCAAATTTATCCCGATATGCCGACAATAACCTTTCCAATGGTTCACGAACAAACATGAACTTTCGATAGTTTCGTAACCGATCATGTATCCCGGGTATGGAATAATCGGTCAAAAAACGGAGACGGTTGGCATATTTGAAATGAGTTTCATTGTGTGTTATATCTCCCGGCCTTTTCTTGGTTTTGTCGAACATTCCCGTCATATGTAAGAAGATCCGTTTCCAGTTGGAGCAGCCAACCTTCGGGACGTAGCAATACAGCAGGCGGTATTTGTCATCCACAACGAGGTGCGTAAGTGTAGAAACATTAACTGACATGCTAATATTACCGCTAGCAACCATTGCGTCACAATGGACGCTCAAATGTTTCTTTCTTTGGCGTTGTAAATCGATCTGAAAAGAAAAAATGCGTTTTTATGATTTTTTTTATATATCACACATGCATTCCGTTGTATGCAATTTAAATACATCAGATATTTTTTCCCCCCAATCGTAGGAGTCATTTTCATTGGTAATAGACACTATTATAATACATGTATATATGTTTCTAATTTATTTTTGTCCCCAATTGGTCCAGACAGACGCATGCCCATGTGACATTGCTGTTTGCTAGTTCTCTTATCGTATCATCTTTTTTCTTGAAGAACACCTGTCCATATCATAATAGTTATTTTGCTGTTTTTAAAACGTCTATGTTAAACTTTTTTAATTAATGACATAGAAGACGAGTTTCATTTTGTTTTAGTTTGCACAAAATATACACATTTAAGACGGAAGTATTTAAAATATTACTATAGAAATAACCCTAGTGTATATAAGCTTGTTCAATTACTTAATACAAAGAATATTAAAGAAGTATGTAATCTTGGAAAGTATCTGATAGTTGCAAATAAGCGCCGATCAGATATATGACCGTTTGTATGTGTGTATTATTCATTCCCCTGTGACCAGTGTGGCTTTTTGTACATATGTAAATAACCTGTTTATTATATGTTTACACTGATAAGTGGCAAGACTTAAAGTTAATAAAGAACTTGAACTTGAATATCACCCTACCACTTTGGCCATTAGTTAAACTGGCCGTTGACACCTTCGTTTTCAACCAGGGGTGCGTGATAGTGAACTGACGACGCCATATTATATTGATCAGACAATGCAGAAAGAAAAGTGTGTTACAATAACGGTCAAACCTTACTTTGTTATTTACAGAGTCAATCGCTATTGTTATCGGATCACACAAACTCGAGAACAGAACAGTGAGATACATAAGTGTACGCCCTTACCTGGCTAGGCGTTGAAAACATCCGGATTAGCTTCATTCGTCGACCAAGCTCTGAAACTATACCAGAAAAAAACATGTCATTCCTTACTGTATATGAGAATCGTCTGTAGTACAGCAGAGGTGTTTATTCACCGAGAACGATGGAAAAGGTCCAAATAAAACTGAATTGTTTGAAGCATTCTGTTTTGATAAGTTCAGTATCATTCTCACACTTCGTCAATTTGAGTAGTAAGTAACCATCGATTCACTGATACATGTTTAAGCTGACAGTGCAAGTTAAAAAGCTTTCACTTGAGATTAAAAAAAAGTGGGTTTTTTTTCATTTTTTTTCTGTTTTCGAGATCTTCCCTATTTATTCCGACTATCGTTTCTCAGGAAGTGCCGATGTTTTAGTTTGTCCTTGCTTGGTAACGAGTATGGATCTCGCTTGATATAAAAAGCTTCCTTAAAAACGCCAGCCGATTGTCACTGGGGAAACCAGAAAAAAATAAACTTTTTTAAAAGAAATCTCAATTGAAAGCTTCTTAACTTGCACTGTCCGCTTTAAGTACTAGTAAATTCATTATTAACCCAGGGTGGCCGGGTGGGGCATTTGATAGCGCATCACTCTTTCACTAAGACGGCTGGGGTTCAATTTCCGGCGATCTTACATAAAATGGCATGCACGACGACGCGAGATTTCTCAAGGTGCTCTGGTGTCCTCTCAAATAAGACCCATTGCACGTTTTTCCCGGACAAACAAGAGTCATTGATAAATAAGGATTGAAATGCAATTGTTCATGTGTGATCAACTCTCGTGATAAGATTTTTGAGAATTAGTACTCCGCAAAGTCTCGTGTCAAAAATTAAAAAAAAATCTTACCCTCTAATTGAGATTTCGCATAAAACATAAGTAAATTATTTTATAAATTAAGACTGTCTTGATATTTCGTATCAGGCGAGTTAAACAATTAGACAATTAACATGAAACAAGAACCCCGTTTCATAAAACATATTTCACATATACATCATCCATGTTTTGAATACTACAGATTCCCATGGAATTATCTAGTTATATTAATTGGCCTCAAGATGAAAAGAAAATGTTTGAAAATAGTACATGTATCCTTGATTCCTGTTAAATTGAAAACAGAAGTAATACAATGTACATGTGATTTTGAGAATAGGTCATACTTTTCGTCAGCTTACTTACTGTGACGTCTTTGACGTTAATTATAAAGATACATGTATAATGAGCGACATGTCGAAGCGTCAATTCTGTTTTTATACATGTAACACGACATGAACACACATATTGATGACGTCATAACTTTGTGTGTACACACATATCTGACATTGAGGATGCAGCACTTACGTCTTGATTTATCTGGTTGTGACGTTGTCGTTGTCCATATTAAACAGTATGTGGTCATCACCAACCCGACCACAATGGTTGCCGCCAATAATTTGACCTTGGTAAACCGCGGTCTAGCACACGGATACCTCACGTGAAGGTCACTGTTGGATAGCGTACGACACCTCGTGGGAGTATGTGTTGACATGGCGATTTCCTGTGAAGGTCAAGGCCAATTTGTCCCAATGGATTATTTCTTGCTATTCTAAAAATAAATAAATAAGAATATTTTGATTTGAGATGAACACATCATAAGCTTACTATGTACAAAATCGGTTGGTTGCATTGCCACTATTTGCTGAGAAACAGAGATAAACGCAAAACTTGAACGTCTACAATGCCGCCGCCGACCCCGGAGAATCAGAACCTATGTCTCATCTTCAGCAACAAAGTTACAGGCGAAAAAAATCGACACGTATTAACTGAAGTGTTTCTTTGAATGCTATACAATGTGACATATTAGTGATGAAAAATGTAGATCATTGTTTAACATTTATAGATCAATCCCAGCTCTGTGCTGTGTGTTTTTTAAAAGAAAATGATAAAGGTCAAGACAAAACTCCTTTGTCAATTACAAACTACCTATAACTGAGCTATACATGTACATTACAAACTACCTATAACTGAGCTATACATGTATATTACAATTACAAACTACATATAACTGAGCTGTACATGTACATTACACTTACAAACTACATATAACTGAGCTGTACATGTCCACTACAATTACAAACTACATATAACTGAGCTATATACATGTACATTACAATAACAAACCACATATAACTGAGCTTTACATGTACATTACAATTAGAAACTACATACAACTGAGATATACATGTAGATTACAATTACAAACTACATATAACTGAGCTATTCATGTATATTACAATTACATATAACTGAGCTATACATGGACATGTACATTACAAACTACCTATAACTGAGCTATACATGTACGTTACAAACTACCTATAACTGAGCTATACATGTACGTTACAAACTACCTATAACTGAGCTATACATGTATATAACAATTACATATAACTGAGCTATACATGTACATGTACATTACAAACTACCTATAACTGAGGTATACATGTATATTACAATTACAAACTACATATAACTGAGCTGTATACATGTACATTACAATAACAAACTACATATAACTGAGCTTTAAATGTACATTACAATTACAAACTACATACAACTGAGATATACATGTACATTACAATTACAAACTACATATAACTGAGCTATATACATGTACATTACAATAACAAACTACATATAACTGAGCTTTACATGTACATTACAATTACAAACTACATACAACTGAGATATACATGTACATTACAATTACAAACTACATACAACTGAGTTATACATGTATATTACAATTACAAACTACATATAACTGAGCTATACATATACATTACAATTACGAACTACATATAACTGAGCTAAACATGTACATTACAATTACAAACTACATACAACTGAGATATACAAGTACATTACAATTACAAACTACATATAACTGAGCTATACATATACATTACAATTACGAACTACATATAACTGAGCTAAACATGTACATTACAATTACATACTACATATAACTGAGCTATACATGTACATTATTTCTGGGTTGTTTGGAACAGAATACAATAGAAAATGACCTGTGTGCTTTTTGTTTAAATAACTTATATTGTATACAATCCAATAGCACAGCAAACTGGAGTTAAAAGATAAATGCTACCTAAACGTGACACCTTGCACGTCCTTAAACGACCATAGCTGTTACCTGTAATAAATGTAGGACGTAAAAACACACACAAACAAAACAGACATGTTCCTTTTCAAAAGAGCTCTCCTCCAAGGAAAATATACGTAACGAAAGTACTGTTTGTCTTTTAAAATAATCGATGACACATATAAACACAACAATTGATTTCATATTTGAAAGCTATGCAATCATTATACTAACAAAGCTTACGATTTAAAGATTCTAAGGGAGATAATCTGACACCGCTGGAAACATTACAATGAGAGAAGTAGCATAATTACTTATAAATTAGATATAACCAGTGTTCGTTATTTTTTGTTTTCGAGCTATCGATCCTTTTCAACACAAAGTAAAACGAATAATGTAATAAACAACTTGTCGATATACGGTTGTCCACTTACTACACTTAGCTGCTACTCGACAGACCACTGGAGATTAATGCCACTCATTACTGAGGACAGCCAGTAATATTAACTTAAAAGCTGACTTGCAGTGCCACTCAGCGAAAGGTCATACGGTTCATGCTTACTGTACCATTTTAGTGTAATTTTTAGCCCGAATAGGTGTAATAATCCTCAAACTAAGCAACTCATAATGGACTCCCAGGTTCCCGTGGTCCTTTAACGCCATACATTTATGCGAACGCGTTTGTGTATCATTTTTATGACAAACGGCTTGTCATATCATCTTCACTCAGACGATCTCCTTACTCAACATATTCTGTAAGCTCTATCACTTAAAGGATTCACTTTTATCAAACAAATGACAATTACGTATAAGCGTTACATACATCACAAATCAGCATCATCAACATCCCCAAAATTAACGTCGTCTAACATGGACGCCAATTAGTACTGTGCTACTGTACCTGTGTTGGAAACATTTTTTTGACCAGGATTACGCTTAGTGCTAGGTAGACACAGACAGGGGGTAGGGACCAAAAGAATGACCATAGGTATTGTCATACAAAGGTTAAGAACTCGATATTTACAGGTATTTCGGTCAAAAAGCCGTAAGTCTTTCTATTTATAGATACGTTCTGAGGTCATTTAAAGAACTTCATTACAAATCGAATACAAAAACACCACAGGTACACTATAGACCCGACCGAACCGGAATGTAAATACGGGAAAATCCACTAGTATTAGTGAACCGGTCAAAGGTGTGTTAAAACGTCCACTTGTAATGATGTTATGATTTATTTTGAACTGGGTCGATTCCCTATTATATATACCCGGCTTTATAATATGATTAAATTTTGGTTCAAGTTATTGAATGCCAAGAACTGTATCTTGAAAACTGCCTATGATGAATTATTGAAAATGCCCAAGCGTAATAATGTTTTTAATTGGTAGTCCTTTGTGAAGGATAAACTTTTTTCACTCGGGTTTGGTGATGTGAACGAACGTAAATGTAAACAACGAATTTTTGATCATGCTAGATAAGAACTTTCTGAAATGTTAGAGAATTCACCAAAATGTCACTTGTATAGACATTTAGTAAATACTATATCATTACAACATTATCTATGTAAATATATACCCAAGAAACATAGAATTGCACATACATTGCATATTGAAACAGGACGATATAGAAATATTGTAAGGAATGAACGCTATTGTAAAATATGTAATTCTGTAGATATAGAGGACGATTATCATTTTTTGCTTATTTGTCCTATATACCAAGAGCTCAGATCAAAGTATATAAAAATGTATTACTGGAGAAAACCATCTGTTCTAAGTTAATTCAATTACTGTGCTCAACAAATGTAAAAGAACTAACCAGGTTTAGCAAATATATATACGATGCCACTAAATTGAGGAAGTGTCAAATCTTTTGTCCATTCTCCATTGCGTTTTGCAGTGTCTGCCAATGTATTTATATTGTTACATGTACACTGATGAGCTGGAAAGCTTAAAGTTAATAAAGAATAGAATAGAACTGGAGCTTGTACAACACTTACGGTGTCAGGGAACAAAAGGCACACGGGGCCTGCGTCGCTCACATTTGTAACTACTTACTCTATTGAACTGTATTTACCATTGATCAATGTATAATGTCAAATCATATTTTTAATTTATTTTGAACAATTCATCAAACATTTATTTTCAAGTTATTGACCAATGCAATGCGGTACTGAAGACGAATATTTGGTCCATTTCTTTTACAAACATGGAGAAAGAATGAGAATGACTTTTCCTACATGCATCAAATATCACATGTCAGAAGAAAACTTAAAACTCCGGACATATTATTGTACTTTGTTTCAAAGAAAAATATTTTCAAAACAAATTTTGATTATGTTTTTTTTTATAAATTATCTAGTAAAACAGGTTGATAGCTAAACATAACAAAGTGGAAACAGATTTTTTTCCTTTTTACTAAACTGTGAGATAGTTGATGTGTTATTCGTTATCTATTTCAAGTCACAGACCCAACTATTCCCGACATCAACATCTTTCTATTAAAGCTTAAAAAGTTTTAAAACACCAAAGTATAACTGTTATAATAGTGTTTATTATATGCATGAACATTTCTCGCAATCACATTGGTCGGATCCTATACACGTGACCAGGCCTCAAAAACTCATGTAGACTGGTTATCCGGTGAATATCGATTTCTAAATAAAGCTTGCATGGAAATTCCCCGGAACCTGTCGTAGCGCATGCGCAGTTAGACTGGAACGCGATCTGTCAGACGACATTAAAAGATGGCTGCTGGCGAGCGTGTCTCCTCCGTTAGGAAAATTACCAAAACTATTCGAGGATAAAGATGCTGTTAACGTATAAAAAGGCCATTGAACACGCAGTGCATGTCCTCCATGCTTATCTTAAGAAAAATAATCTAGACGATGCCTTCAAAAGCTACAATGATGAAATGTTGTATTCAAACCTGGCTAAATTTTACACGGAAGCTCGCGTACAAATATCAGAACCTTTAGTTTTGTTTCGTTTTATTTCATTGTTGAAGCATATAATAAAACAGTTATGGGATTTTGTGCTGGTAAATATGATGTGATATGAACCTGAAAGAGGGATATTGACCTCGGCTTCGCCTCAGTCAATATCACTCTTTCAGGTTTATATCACATCATATTCACCAGCACAAAAGTCCATAATTGTATAATATTGTATACCGACATATTAAAGGGATGTTGGTCGAGGTTCTCAGCACATTTGATCACTGTGGACTTCGTTATCGGTTTCCTGTAAAAGGCGAGTTATCTGGGCAATGATCTCCAGGATTGGTAGTTGTTAGAAAGAACTACTTTGAATTTTCTGAGCTCAAGTGTTCACAATGACTTTGAACGTATGTCACTGTAATTAACATATTTGATATCCTTTCATACAAGTACGCTACACAACATATTTTGTTTTGTTTTGTTCGGGGTTGAACTCGGCCTCGCATTATCAAAGTTCCTAAGAAGATGAATGCCTCCGAAAAGAGAGTTGAGTTACGGAAGTTTCATCGTCCAAGGTATTACTAGGGGTGCCGCAGATTAAGTTTAGTTTCTTGAATGTTCCTAAAAGCAGAAGACAAAGAAGATAATCCCTGATTCTGAGCCCCAACGAGTCGCCTCTTACGACAGCATGCTGTGGGTTACTTCCCACAAAGAACAGGGGGTACACGTCAAATCTGAAGGCTTCGTTGTTCCAAACAAGAATTACGCGTAATTTACATTTCATAAACAAATTTGGCAGTACATCAACATGGAGGTATAAAAGGAACAAGTGCTAATGGTAATGGGAGCCGGCCACTACAGATGTCCTCTAAACTACCCCCGCATTTGGAAAAGCAAATGTAAATAGGTGAACGGAAGTTGCAGTGCCATAACACATGTACATACCTTGGAGCAAAATCAAAATATATGTGAATTTCGACCACTCACGCAGAAGCCAGTATACCGCCACCATTTTGTCAGTTCAGAAAATGGATCCACGGTTGAGAGCACAGTGCGGAAATACACGTACATACGGATTTTTAGCAAACTCGAACAATAACTGAATTTCGAACAATCAGAAGCCAATATACAGTGGCAATTTTGTCAAATGATAAATGGATGTCATGGTTGATTTTGTAGTGCCAAAATACATGTACATACTCAATTTGACTGAAACTGAACAATAACTGAAATTCGACCAATCAGAAGCCAGTATTAGGTGGCCATTTTGTCAAATCAGAAAAAGGATGTTGCGGCTGATTTCACAGTGACAAAATACACCTGCATAACAAAGAGGTATGGCGGGTTGCTATGCCTATTTCCCCAAAGTTATGTTACGCTAGTGCGCGCATCCAACCGTGCACTGTTATGACGCGTCCTCAGGTATTTTTATACAGGTATACGTAGCTATATCGGAATCCTGTGTCTAAGAATAGATTATTGTAAACAGACGAATTTAAGGCCATGGGTATTAATACATGCGTTTAACGATAAAGGCTCAACACAATGCTTATTTCACGTTTTTTATATTGATTTATAACAAATTATACGCTTAGATGTAATACAAGATCGTGCAATCTATACGAAACACTGAATTCAGAATGAGTTCTGAGAAAGTATCCGGTCTCGGGCGATAATCCGCATGTCGCACTAAATAGTAATGAAATTATTACTAACAAAACTGATAAATCAATAGGTATGTTATTAAAATGTAAACAAAATTTTCCATCGATTTGAAAAACAAAATATTGCTTTATTAAGGAAAATGATCACATGCCTAAATATTTAAAAAAAAATGAGCGAGGATTCGAACCTGCACCGTTTATTTTTTAGTCACAAGTAAACTGCGTTAAACATTCGGCTTCATAGAACATATAGATATTGGCAATTACAAACTGATTTAACCCGAGAAACACCTGTCGCAGTTTAGAGAAACTTGATCAACCCTGTTTTTCATATTTGAGCACTTTCCCAAAGGAGGACCACTTTTCCGTAATACGATTTGTTTTTGCATATTACATCACGGTCACAAAAATTTTATTCAAAAGTTGGTCCTCAGATGGGAAAGTGTTGAAAGTATTTTTTTTTTAAGTCCGGGAAACCCCATCACTTTCATAGATATAGTGTATATGGCTATATTTGCAGTATCATATTATCAATACCTAATTTCTCAGCAGTTTAAAAATTCATATTCAATTGGTTCTATATCTTTTGTATGCATTTTTGATACACGAAATGTTTTATTCCTTAATTTGTTTTCCCGTTTTCATAAATGCCGACTTAGGGAAATACGGGCAGTTTTCCGCCATACCTCTTTGAGCGAAATCGAACATTTTCTGAATTTCAACCAATCAGAAGCCAGTATACTGTGGTCATGTTTGTTGTCTGATTCCGTTAAAACATTTACGTTGTAACCCTAAAGATGGTAATAATCATCCCAATTTACAGTTAAAGTGTAATTAATCTAATACTTTAAATGTTTGAGATACAGCATATAACACACAGCTAAATGCAAAAGCTTTATATTGCGGAAGATGCTGTGAAAGTCACCGGACCGGGAAATGTAGACCACATTCATTATATCATGCATGGTTTATAATCCACGGGTTATGAATATAAGACGCATGTATGGTCCAAGTTTGGTTGGTCTAACACTTGTACTTTTTGAGAAACACAGCTAAATGCAAACACTTAACAGTGATGAAGATGCTGTCCAAGTCACTGGACCGTGAAATGTAGGGCACATTCAGCACATGATGCTTGCATTGAGGTGAAGTATGTAGGATACATGCATGGTTGAAGTTTGGTTGGTCTAGCACTAAAACGTTTTGAGAAACAGAGCTAAACGCAAAAACGTAATGTTGACGATGACGCCGCCCCAAAATATGATCCGTAACACCCCAAGTCCTTCTGCGGGTACACTGTCTTATAACAAAAGAATTATTGACCGGTTTTGGGTTTGGTTTGGTTTAATTTTGTTTAACGTCCGATTAACGGCTTAGGTCATTTACGGACGTGCCTCCATGTGTGTAGTGTATGCATGCTTGCGTATGTGTATGCAGGAGACAGGTTATATTGGTATGCTCGGCTCCTTGTGATAGCGCGGATCTGATGCCGGCTTTATAGTGCTATCTCACTGAATTGCCATGCCGAAGGTACCAAGCATAGCATTCCGCCCGGTCACATTATACCGGCAACGGGTGAACCAGTTGTTGCCGTTCCCCTTAACACTGAACAACATACATGTAGGTATTTGTAACCCCGACAAAAGTGGTATTTACAGATGTCGAGGACAGAGAAGATTATTATATTTCGAGTCAATACTTGTAAATATAATGTTCACAAACCGGACGCTTGACCTCCGTACAATAAAGGGGATCCTAGCCCCACTAATAATGTATATAAAAGATCGGTGGGAACTTCAATTTAAAAGTCCACTTATGAAAGGAAATAATTGTAAGGTTAGCAATTAGAAACGGAAACATTTTTGTAAGCGAGTTTAGGATACGTTCCATGTCACTACTTCTGTCATAACCTTTCCTAATATGACTATGTAGTGTAGATCTTACATTTTGGGTAGAATCAATTGTGGCTATATAAGCAGTCTTTAAGAAATATGCAAAGTTATGATGATGTGTGGAGCTTAACTCAAGAAAATTTGCTGCAAGAACGAAATTGCAAAAGATTAATCCCCCGAAATTAAAGCCTTGCGTCCAGCAATATGCCAAACGGACATTGCCTATCGGACAATCGATGTATATATGATTATTTTACCTTTAAAATGAAGATGATATAAGTCTTTAAATTAGAGAGTACCAGTGCAGTGTTTTGTTTCTCGAACAAAAACAAATGTTCCAGTTTGTTTTGCATCTTCCCGACTATTGCGTTGCTTGTCCATCTACTTCAGCAAAGAGTTATATCTAATGAAATATATTCCTTATGGTTACATATTTCACTACAGGGATTCGAACACCAGAAGTTCTAATTCTCCCAAAAAATCACAACCTCTAATTGTCTTGGCATGCTTATTTTGTAATTCTCCAGTAGGTCATTATAGATAAGCTTGCAATTGACTTTTTCAGAAATAAATTCTAAGGCTAGGTCATTATGAAAAGGCATTTCTTTTTGGATCAATCGTCTGTGTACATCCGCGGTACTCCCAGGTTTGGTTTGGTTTTATTTTGTTTAACGTCCTATTACTAACAGCTAAGGTCATTTAAGGACGTGCCTTCATGTGTGTTATATGTGTGCTGGAGACGGTATGTTGGCGTAATTGCCTCCTTGTGATAGCGCAGATCTAATGCCCACTTTAGAGTGCTACCTCACTGAAACACCATGGCGAAGGCATTCATTACAGTATTCAACCCGGTCACATTATACTGCCAACGAGTAAACCAGTTTTTGCGAAAACGTTTAAAAAGCATGGACTAACAACTAGCACTTTTAAGGATTTTGGTATGTCCCGGCCTGTGGACCCCTGGAATAGCGAGGACGGTCCCTGTATATAAAAAAAGATGAGCATGGAGATGCATTTCAACTTTTCAAATTGTATTTGTAAAACTTCAAACGTATTTAAATTAATTAGAAATAAAAAGGCAGAAAGTTTGGCACCTTGCGCTATAACCTTATAAATTAGTCCACTTATTAACAAAAAGAGTGGTGTACCTTGGCCTGATTTTGGTCATTTTCAACTAGGAAACAGTGAACTGCATTTAAAATGGGGATAGCATTGTGGCAGATTTCAATTGTACATAGAATAGATTATGTACAAAGTGTAATCTTAATGACATAGAAGACGAGTTTCATTTTGTTTTAGTTTGCACAAGATATACAAATTTAAGACGGAAGTATTTAAAATGTTACTATAGAAATAACCCTAGTGTATATAAGCTTGTTCAATTACTTAATACACAGAATATTAAAGAATTATGTAATCTAGGGCCGATCAGATATATGACAGTTTGTACATGTATGTGTGTATTGTTCATTCTCCTGTGACCAATGTGGCTTTTTGTACATATGTGAATATCCTGTTTAATATATGTTTACACTGATAAGTCGCAAGACTTAAAGTTAATAAAGAACTTGATTACGGTCGTCTTCGAGACTCGAGCTAGAGGGAATTTCCCTTAAGCATAGTGGTAGAGCGTCCGACTATAGGGACCGGGAGATCGAGGGTTTGATCCCCGGAGGAAGCACACTATTCTCTTTCCTGTTACTGCATGAAGGACGTTTTAAAGTAAATACATGATATTATAGCTGTTACTGAGTTAATTATTTAGAAAATTAGTGCTCCAGTTTTTCTGTAAGCATCTAAATAAAATACCATAGTTTGCCCTTGCTCACACACACCCTCCCCTCTTCTTCTTTCTCTTCAAATGACCTTAACTGATTTAAGAAAGCCACCCGCAAACAAACAAATTAATAAACATACCGCCATAATGTTCACCAGCGTTGGTTTGCTATTACTCATATAGTTACTTCTACCCTCGCGATCGTCTGTCAATACACCTGACAGACGATGCTTGAGTACCTGTGGGCTGACAACATGTAATGTAACTGCAGTTATATATAGACTTACAAATACTACTTACCAATCATAAAGGTTCAAATCGAAGAAAGTAGTTGCTGATGACATGAGTTGCGAGTTCCCGTCAAATTCTGCTTCTGCATTATGATTGTCGCAATGTATGTAGCCATATATAACCTGTCTGAAACTTAGACCCCGTACGTAAACAATCACAGGGGTCAACTGTTAACACTAAATAAAGACAATTCTAATTTCATTTTTCTATCATTGATTTTTTGCTATATTGTTCAGAGTCAATTTGCACGTTTGTGATTGAATCTCTAAGATGTATTTATACATAACGTTATGTAGTTAAACACAGTTTGAGCATGTCGAACTCTTCGGTCTGAGATGGTAGACATACTCTTTGCATACTTCAATGGTTGGTTAAGTTATATGTCCGCTTGTCATTCAATACTACGGTCCGTGTTTTACGCTGAAAATACGAGGTGTAATATTCTGCTCCATTGAACATATTCCAGGTAAAAAGAAATCTGATAATTATTTCTACATTAAGTTGGAATCGTGATGTATTTCTTACGTTGATAAAAAGATCTAATATGAACAGCTACTGTCCACAAACTAGGCTTACAGTTTCTTACCGGTAATAATACCTCCGGGTGAGAGGCGTCATGGTCGATCGCGTTTGGAGTGTAAAGTTTTATTCTTATA